GGTCTTTTCTTAGTGATTGGTTTTTCATTTCCCTCTACTCTTTATTTTTTTTTTTTTTTTTTTTTTTTTTTTTTTTTTTTTAATTAAGTCAAAACCTATATCATTCACATCTTTGATCGCTCAAGAACAACGCGTCAGCTCTCACAACTGCCAGAGTTTTATCTTTTACCTTTTCACCGTGACGTCCTTCTCAAGAATGTATTACTTCATAAAGGGGTCCTAAAATTTGACAAGACGGACCACTGCTTTGTCCTTTAGTGCTTTCCAAAAGTCTGGTATGGGTCGGATAACAAAGTGCAGCAGTTGTGTTAACATGCAATAATCAGAGATGTATCCCTAAATGTGTGCTGGAGGTGAAGCTTTGCTAAAAAAATGTTTATCGTCCTATCTCATTTTTTGTGATGTCTCACAAATTGTGTTACCAGAGGTGGCGGAAGACGCATGACATTTATAACGGCGCAATGAGATTCAAACCCTTAAAATAAGAAACTAAACCTGGTTATGTAAAGCTGCTTTAAACCGAATACACTCTTTATAAAGTAAAATCATTTTTCATATTCAACACCCGTCTTTCATCCTAGAGATGTGCTACTGTCAGCCTCTCAATGAAGATGCCTCCCCAGATCTACTGTTAAATAAAACAACCGGCTATTTCAACGGTTGTAACTTCTCTAAGACCAGAAGACGTTAGAATTGAATCTTACTCTTTACACACTACAGACTCGACAAGATATTTACTCAAACTCTGAGAAAACCAAGCCTCCATCGACTATATTTCTTAGCGTTGCCATTTTCTGAGTAGACAAAACCCAAAAGAACAGAAGTGTCTCCTCAGCTGTTTATTTTGAACTAATTTACATTCGTCCAACCTTCTCCTGTTTTGTGGGTGTTGCTTGTTTCTCTGGTGCCTGTGCTGTTGATGCTAGCCTGCTGTGACTGCAACACATTTCTGTGAGGGAACTCAGTGCAAACATGGGACTATTTTTCTAACACAGAGATCTGAATGTTGTAGACTTGACTCACTTTCCATGACGGGAATTCACAGCTTATGCACAACTCAACAGTTAAAGTGTAGCTTGCTTGAAAGGCTTCCTAACCATGACTTCAAATAATTTAAAACGGTACATTTGTGTAAAAAATAAATAAATAAAAAAAAAATAAATACAATTGTATTTTATAATTCTATGTATACTGGTATGTATATACTGCATTTGTACTTGTTTGTTGCTTTCTAAATCAATGCCAATGTGGATGGAGAGTACAAACTGTAAATCCGTCCCATTTTAATAAACATCAAACTATATATCGACTCATCTCAAGTGTCTCAATTTCACATCTACAAGTAATTTCCATGTATGTTTTGACATGACTATTTATTTTTTTCCTCTCGACAATGAACGTCCTGCAGGCTTAGTTGTGATGACAAAAAAAATGAAATGGGGAATGATGAAGAGGGTTCTTTAATTAGCTTTTGCATTTCTTTGAATTTCAATTAACTTCTTTCTGAATGTGGATCAAAGAATAATCATGGATTTCAGGACAAAAACATCAGTGACATGTATGACACTGTACCGTATAATTGTACGTGGCTGCAGGCTTGTAGTGTTGAGGCGGCAGACTCCCAAAGTAAAAGTCAAAAATATGGAAATATAATTTCCCAAAATGTCTTTCTTCATTCTTAGAAAGCACTAAGATGATTTGTTATTTCTCTTTTGATGCTGAAAATGTGTTACATCGTTTCTTACCAAGTACAGCTGAGCCATTGTAGTGTATTTGTTTTATGGTTTTAATGCTTTTATTGAACCACGATTTTATTAGTTTGATTTTAGGCAAGACTGCAAGAAAAAAATGTCAAAGACTTGTCTTTCAAAGTTAAGCCAAATTATTGCTTTGAGACCATTTCAAATATGTGATATATACTGTATATACTGTATAATTAGTGGAACAGTTTACCCAGCTTATAAGGTTATAGCTTTAACCTCTTGAAACCTAGGCCTCTGGCTCGAAAAAGAAATGCCCAGAATGACAAGTATTACTGTAACTACAAGGTCTGTTTGAATAATCTAATCATAATAAAGGTAACACATGTGAGATTTATCTTCACTCCTGTAAACATCATGCCAAACAGCAAATTGGAAAATCAAATAATTCACCAAAAATAAAGGATTAAAAAAATAAGAATTAGGCCCCAGTGGGATCTACGGGCAGAACCAGCTGACATTTCTATACAGTCCATGCATTTAGTAAATAAAAGAGGTTTCTGTGTCAGGCTGCACATTTGTAGATATGACATTTTTATTGTGAAAGCACTCGCATACCGGAAGTGTCTCGCCTTCTGGCGGAAGTTGAAAAAGCAACTTAGCAACGGCAGCGACCTTGTGCAGGGCATGCTGTTCACAACAGTTTTATTAGTTACCCACCTTAACATGCTCGTTTATCGGACACACGAAGTGACAGTTTGGTGTTTATAGTGTCCCTTTCAACGATAACATCATGTTTTCCTTCATCAAGGCGGCTGTCGGCGGTTTAACCGGTGTCTGTCGAGCACACGGTCACCAACAAGGTAACACAAAGTAGCTAGCGTTAACGTTACAGTGACATTTAACGTCAACAATGCAACGAAACTAACTCCTAATGTGACTATTCATTGCGTGTGAGATTTATGTATGAATTGTTTGTTTTAAAAAAATGGGCTGTACACATTATTAAGCATTGCTGTGACGTTCAATGCCAGTGATAGACACAAGTACACCTGTAAAACAACGTAAAAGTAAACCAGTTACTGTAGTAGTGTATCAGCATGCAGAGCAATAACATCAAGACAATAATGAAGATACTACGATGTCAGGTATCAACCACTGACATGCAGCAGCACAGAAATAATATAAAAGAGGAAGAAACATATATAAAGTAAATATATAGATTTATGTAACGTTTGTGAGCCACAGTGCGAGTCAGAAAGACAAACATGAAAGCCGTTTTTTAAAAACGATAATCTACGTGAAGACATGAGCACAACAACAAGTAAAACTAAGGTTTAAATTCTGTCTCCTTGAGCTGAAAAACACACAATCCAAACATCTTCGTTTACAGTACTGCTGTGCATCCAAGTGGGTTTTATTCTATTCAAACTGAAAATATCAGATCATAGCTCTTGAAGCTTGAAGATGCATCAGTTTAAATGCACACATTTAAACTGAGTAGTATGATATTAGCAGTAACATATGACCGTTCTTTATTCTGCTGTTTGTTCCACAGGCCTTTTACACAGCCACCTGAAAGTCCTAGCTGCTGGCCTGAAGACACACGAAACCCCTCCAGACTACAGCGGTAACCCTTCATCCTCTCCATTGTGACATGTATACATGCTACACAGTAAAGGGGAAGATGTGGGGGAAAAGACACACCCTAGAGAGTTCCACAGGCTTTGTTCAAGTAGAAATGTTTGCGTGACGCTGTACGTTCATGTTGTTCATGATTCCCTCCTCTTGTTTTACCTCTGAAGATGTGGTGCTGCCGGAGAAACCCAAACTGAAGTTCATGAACAAGGTGCCTAACTTTAAGAAAGCAAAGAAAGAGATGAAGAATCTTCGGGATATCCAAGGCCCAGCGAGGGCAGCAAATACCTTCACGACAGGACAGTACGCTATTGTGGTCAGTGCATTTCTGTTCTGTAAACACTTCTGTTTAGTGCTGGAAGCATTAAAGTCTATGGACATTATGTTAGCTGCAATATTTTATAACTTGCCTTTATTATTAAAGCCTCTGTAACTGTATATTAGCAACTGTTACATATTGCATGTTGAAACATTTGTAACGTGGCATTTAAAGTGACTTCCCTCTTTCTCTGTCTTATCTTTCTGCTGCTCAGGCCTTGGGAGGGGGCTACCTTCATTGGGGTCACATAGAGATGATCCGTCTTACCGTCAATCGCAAGATGGATCCCCGTACTACATTTGCCCGCTGGCGCATCAATGGCCCATATAAGCCCATCACACGTAAAGGTCTGGGTCAGCGCATGGGTGGGGGCAAGGGAGCCATCGACCACTATGTGACGCCTGTCCGCTACGGCCGTTTGATTGTGGAAGTGGGCGGAAAGGTGGAGCTGGGGGAGGTTGATCATATCTTGATTGAAGTGGCAAAGAAGCTACCCTTCCCTGCCAAGGTGAGATGACTGATACTGTGCTTCAGTGTCTAGTATATACTTAAATGATTTCAGGTGATTTTAGTTTGAGCACGTCTTAAAAAAAGCATATTTTTGGTGATTCATTTGTATGTATGCACTCAGTTGCCAGTTTATTAGGCACACGTTGCTGCAGTCTAATACAACATTCCTTCAATAAATCCTACATCAATTAAACTGTTTTAGAGAGTTGTTTGTTCAACTTGATGGTCATTTTGAAGGCTGCAGTTTGTGGTGCTGTTAAATTGATCTGCTGGATACTTGCAGGTGTTTGTCTTTATTTTGTCCACTCCATTCATATCAATGAGGGTGGGCTAAATAACAGAAACACCTCTTTACTCCTTCTATTGAAAAATCCACATATGAATACAATTTTTCACTTAAACTTTAGACTTAAATTAAAATTATTATTTCACATTAGAGTCCATTCTGAGTGAATGTGCATTGAAGGATCCACGTGAAGTAACAATAAGCAAAATGCATTTAATTTAATTTAATTAGCTAAAAAAAGAAGCCAATAATTCATTGCATTGTGTTCCTCCTATAGGTGATGAGCAGAGAGAGCCTAGCAGCCCTGCAGAAGAAGCACGCTGACATGGAGCAGAACAACCAGAATCCCTGGACCTTCAAGGAGATCGCGCGCGGCAACATGCTGGGCATCAGGAAGGTACTCAGCCCCTTTGACCTGCACAACCATGGACGCTTCACAGGCAAATTTCACCTCCCGTGGAGGGTGTGACGGACCTGAGGGACAGAAATGGACAGTGTCTCACTGAAACACCAACCAGACCACACCATGGAAGAAGCAACCAAAATAAACAGCCATATTTGGGAATTTTTTTGGGAACATATTTTTGTTAAAGGGATATGTCTTCCCTTTTCTGCTTCAAAAAACAATAAACTAGATTATGTATTTCAGTATCACATGGTAGCTCAAGCATCCTGACGTTATTGAATTTGAAGGTCTTTCTTTCTAATCTGCTGCAAAAAAGTAAAAGTGAAAAAAAACCTGAACATATTTCAATAAATTGGGAAGAAAAAGAAATTCCATTGCAGAAGTATTAAGTTGTTATTATGTTATAATAGGTTGAATTGCGATGATCTGTTTCTATTTAACGTGTAACAAGGGATTATATGTTTAATGTGGAATTCCAACTGCTCGTCAATTTACAGGTAAAATATAAAGCAGTATATGAGATAAAACAAAGACAAAAATACACACAAAAAGCAACTGTAGCTAGAGTGCACCTGTGCCTTTCTCTCATTTGTTGTAATAATACATGTTTTACTTGAGTTGTATTTGGCGATGGTATCGAAGTAAATAAACATTTTTCCAAGGAATGGGTACATTTTGTGCCTGTAAAATTCAACAATTACATTTGCCATCAGCCTTATTATAATACACGCTTAATATACGCTTAGTTAACATCCTATTTTGGAAACCGGTTGTTGTCTGACGGTAATCTTTCACCCTTATTTGACATCTTATTTTGAAAACAGGATGTTGTCTCACGTTAATCTTTCCGCTAACTTTGCAAAGTCCTTCGCTCGCTCCCGATCTGTGCCGTTTGAATGCGTTTACCGTGAATTTCAGCATATAGGCCCACTAATATTTAAGTGTTTGCTGGGTTGACCACGGAGATCCGAGTGTCGGATACAACAACAAGCTGTTCGGTTTTTAACCAGCCAATATATACGCTTAGAATATGAACGCATAAACCCAACTGTGCTGCTTCCTGTTTCCACAACGGCTTCTCGCCAATTCAGTAACTGGTGTCTTAAATCCCTGCGTAAGAGCTTACAGGTAGCGTTTTCGTCGTGGCGCTGTGAGAATGCAGTCATTAAATGCTGATTTTTTTTTTCAGGCTGCTCCTTTTTGCTGATAGGTTAACACTTTTTATTGAGTTCTGAATAACAAACCTCCCAATGTGATGTTTGGCTCTGGTACTATAGGTGTAGCTTGGGAGGATTCGGTGCCTGTCAAGCGACACTCCGGCAAAAGACGTTGCCTACACGCATGCGCGTTGAATGTGCGCTTAAACGTTCGAAAACAGCAGCGCGAAAAAAAGTAGCTCGGCTGTTGACAACATGTCTAGTTTGAAATTGTATTCGTAAAGATGTGTAACTGTTAATACATTTGTGTCTTGACGGTTTATAACGTGTTTTAGCGTAAGTCCTTTATTTGTACAACACAGCTGTTTCCGTTAATTGTTGCTCAGTTAGCGTTATGTTAGTTTAGCTGGCCAGACGTTAACACATTGCGTTACGTTAACGTTGCATTTGCTTTAAACTAGCTATCGTTAGCAGTTATGAAGCCCTTAAGAGGTTCCAACCGGCCCGCATCGAAAGCACCTAACGTGAAACGCAAGAACAACAAAACGGATCAGACGACTGAGCAACACGCATCAGAGCATCCGGTAAGATGTGGTAAACACTCCAGCCGGTGTTGACTAACCTGTGTGTCGGCATAGTTCTGCCAGTCTCCTGTTTCCTCACTTGTGACCTAACATCACACATTGCTAATGTTTCATAGGGCCATGGCAAGGGCACCCAGCCGAAACCAGCAAAGAAGAGGAAAGGTTAGAAAAGCTCCTGTCTATTCAGATGTTTAAAAATGCAGCACACTATGACAAAGTTTGACCACAAAGCAAACTAACTGCACTGCTGTCACTTTATGTGTTATTGTGTTGCTCCTGTTTGTGTCCTGACAAAGCTGAAGGCTCCTCTTCAGTCCCAAGTAAAGTCAAAGGTGAGGACAAGTGGAAGCCGATGCCAGTGTCCTCCATCAATACTCTGGAGAGCATACTGGACTTGTCAATGCTGTGAGTTTCACCGTGTTGATTTACTCTGAAAAGTAGTGTTCTCCGACACACACCTGTGTGATCTGATGTGATTCATTACAACAGCTCAGCCATGTTTGCTGCCTTTACAAAGACGATGATGGTCAGCTGAATGACTGTCAGAGAGATAATAACAGTCCATTAAAAGCTTTGTAACGGTAGCTTATGTGGAAGAGCGGTTGTACTGCAATGCATTAGATTGATAGGCGTACCTAAGGAGTGTATGTTCTGACATAACTATTTATTATACCCAGAGCGAGATCGATAAACGGGCCATCTTATTGCAGATATGTCGGTAATGATGTATACGTATGTTGACTGATAAGTAACGATAGATTGCTGTACAGAAATGGCAACTTGTTTTGAGGTAATTTAGAGAAAAAGTCACATAATCATAATGTTCATCAGACAGCACTGCCACGTTATTGTATCGTTATCAGATTAGCCAAATATTAATTTAATTATTGGCCTCAAAAAATCCAGTATGGGTCGGGTTATAATTGTACTCTTTTAACTCAGCCAGCCTCATTTCCCCCTCAATGCTAAAAGGCACGTCAGTGACTGCATGCAATGAACAACAGTCTAAATCAAGTAAGGACACTTTGTTTGGTTTTCCCAGAGCAACTCTGGCTGTGAGGCGGAAAGAGAAGAAAGAGAGCCAGGAACATCTGAACATAATGAAAACCAGGTGAGCAAGAAGTCCCAAATGAAGATGTGAATAAACGGCGTCAACCAGGGGCCTGCAACACGGAGCAGCACGTTGCTATGGAGCTTAGACTTACCGAGTGGATAACTATTGGCGTGTGACCGTTTAGGGGGGATTGCAGTTGTTGGGGTTAGTTAAGGCAGATCATCCAAAGACACCCTGGGTATGTGGAGTTTGCTTCGTAGTACAGGCCTCTGCTCTCTTGCGTATTAATGCCTCCATTGACATTTAAAGGACAGGAGCAACAGAAAATATGACTTGATACATCATCACATCATCATGATATGAATGCAGTGGAAGTTGATGAACAGCCATTAAATATAACCAATCCCTAATTATTTATCTGATCTTTTACCATCAATTCAAATGTCGTTATTTCAAAGATCAAGGATCATGTCTTGGTTGCACTTTTGATTTAGTTTTTTTTTTTTTTTTTTTTGTTTGTTTTTGCTGATTTATTTCCCAAACTCTTCTAGGTTTCTTGCTCAATGTGCAGAACTCAAAGTTCCATTGCAACCAAAGAGCGATTCGCAGCGATCATCTCAGCGGCACCAAGAGGAGGCCAAGAAGTCCGTGTTGGGAAAGACGACTCTGAGCACTCTGGAGGTAAGACACACTGCCGTCTAAGGAGGCCGCTACAGCTCCACTGTGATGCTCCAAACAACACTCCAGTTCATTCACCTGTTTCACTGCTGTACATGCTATGTGTGTAATGTGTATGCAACGTCCACCAGGAGTAATGTCTTGATGAAAATAGGCTTTGCAGAGGTGCATTTTCCTTTGTGTAAATCAGCATATTTAATTATCTGCAGCATAAGTAAGTAAACGGTGTCTGTAACTGTGTTACATGGCGTCTTGTGGTCTTTTCTGGGTTTTCAGGTAGACCTGAAAGGTGTGGTCCGTGCTCTGGAGAGGACAGACAAGCAGACCGTCTCCTTACAACACTCGTGCAGCGTGCTGAGGGACCAGGTGGAGGAGGAGGAGGAGAAAGCTAAAGAGGTGCAAAACACTCACACACGGCAGCATACAGAAAGAAAAAAGCATAAACGTAACATGTCTTTTTAATGTATGGCCTTATTTTGTTTCCATCACTGTTCCTTTATCCTGTAGCTGATTGTTGATTAGTTGAAACGAGCGTCTTTGTCTGTTTTCAGACATTCTTGTGAAGGGCTATTTAACGTAATGTTTTTATGAAACACAAAGTGTCTTTGTAAAGTTATTGCTCTGGCATCCTCTTTATCCATCCTCCATCCACAACAGATCATCTTTAAAGCTCTTATCACCCCAACATGTAGACATCATGTGTAAACTTGTTTTTTTTTTTTTTAAATCTGTTTGGAGGAGAGAATCCACAAAGGCAAAACCTCTTGGTCTTAAAACATTATTTTCATAACGTAGCTCTTGCCAAAACACTCTGGCGAGCATTTTTTTTCTTGTCAGAAGGTCTTTTATGATATTTATTAACTCGGACGAAGGCGTTTCATTACCTCAGATTTCCGAATTGAGGTGACCCAGAGAGAGAAGGGGTTGACGGCATTTTTCCGCACACATCTCCGCCCATTTTGTCATCTTGAGTCTACACTCTTGTTGATTCAGTTGAACAGCGTGCTGAGACGTGGCCGTTATGCGGGGGCCGACATAATGGGTGTGTTCTTGATTTAAATAGGCCGGAGCTGCAAACAGGAAATGTCTGTATCTCATTTGAAAGCAGAGCTTTGCAGCATCCTTACTGTACGTTTACCTTATCTATTAGATGATGACCTAAAAGACAAATTATTGTTCTCATGCACTCTTGTCCTACCTGCCTGTGTTCACACAGATTTTACAGGTAGCTGAAAAAGCAGATCTCAATCTTCCCCCTCTTCCTCCACAAAAAGATGAAACGAGATTAGAGGTGAGCACGGGTGGCGCACAAAACACAATTTCACAAAATCTAGTATCAGCTTGACTCGTCCCTGTTGCACAAGAGCTGTTTTCACCAGCGTTCATATTATTCCATCACTTTCTTGTGAATAAGATGTGGTCAAAATATCTGAGCGAGCACTTCCTCTACAACGTTACGGGACAGTCTGAACATGCTCTGTTGTGCAACTTCTTTGTAATATTATGAAAAAGATGTGAAATATGTCTTACGAAAGGCAGAGCGGGAATGTGACATCTGTTGGTTTGTGTTGTCTGACTCGATCTTATTAACGGTATCGAGCTTTGTTCTTCAGGTTCAGAGAACATGTTACAAAGCATCGTAGTGGCAGTGTTTGATATTTTTGTTTTTACTCAGGCTCGATTGAGAAAAATGGTACCAGACAGCGAGTCTGAGACCACAGCCCGGAAACTGGGAGAACTCCTGCAGAAACCCGAGGCCGCTCAGGACGCCCAGGCGCTGCTTCTAGAGGCACACAACATGGCCGATCAGCTCTTCTACCCCGAACGAGGAGACATCACTCTGTCTTAATATTACTCAATTCCACTTTTTGTGGTTGTGCAATAATCAAATTAAACCCCCCCAAAAATTGCTGCCACCATGTGAAGGAATGTCCGACTTTGGTTTCTAACAGTAGTAGTAGTACTTAAAGAAAAAAGGAAAGACACTGGTCATACCTGTATTTTGGTTTCGACTAGAACATGTTTACATGCTGTAATGTAGAAAACCTTATTTTTCTCATACGGTCTGAATATACCTGTAATCACCGTCTGTCTGAAACTCTGTTTTGGCTCGTTTTAACAGAATTGCGTGAAACAGCTTGGCTTCATGTAAACTTCCTGTCAGCTGATGTTTTTCACATGAAGTTCAAATATCTACTCAGTAATCGAGCCTAACACTAGAACATCAACTTCCTTACAGGAATACTGTACTTGTAAATAAAGACAAACTGGTTGTTCATAATTTAAATTCTTCCCCGTTGGACCTTGAAGTCACGAGTGCATGCTGTTAACAAGTTAAAAACTGACTGCATGATCACATGTAATTAAACATGCGATTTAAATACATCGACTTTTGTTTACTTATGTTTTAATACAGGAAGAAAATACATGTAAAGTGCTTCCATTAATTACAGTTGTATTCATGTTGTGGACTGTTACAGAACAGGTGTGCTTTTATAAACAACAATAAAGCTGTCTCTGCATTAATTATAGTCCAGTTAGACATGGATGTGGTACAATCACAACGAGAACGATCCTGCATCGCATCTACTCTGCTCAGCATCCTGTGCTTCAGTGCTCTACAAATCATACATTCATTGGTTTAATAAGAGGCACAACTGGCACCAGTCAGATGTATAGAGGAGGACCTGTTTAGTCTGGACACCTTGGTGGATCTGAGTCACTGTAGATACTGATAAGAAAAACTCAGTATCACATTTCTTGGAACATGGAGATAGTACTTGTAAGCTTAACGGTGCATCATCTTGAAGGAGTCCATTTAAGCAAAGTTTACCCTGGGGTGGCAAATAATTCTTTGTTGACTTGCTATTTACCATGAAGGCGTTCCCATTAAGCAACAGACGAGTTGATTCATGAATTCACTTTCATGGGCAAATATGACCCTGCCTTTAGCGTGCTGCAACAGAAGCCGCGTTTCTGGAGTCTTCAGTCATGTACTTTCACTGACGACAGGTACGTCCATATATCTCCTCAGCTGACAGCAGAGATGTTATTCCTCCTTATGCACTTTGCTGTTGTAATTGTCACTCTTATGTTCACTTATTTAGAATAGAATAGAAATCTACTTTATCCCCAAGGGGAAATTTTGTCTGTGGCAGCAGCAAACAGGGTTATACAATAAAATAAAAATATTGAGTATGGAAAATGCACAGTATATACAATATAATAAAATAACAGAGCAGGACCAATTAAATTTAAGAAAATGAAGTAATAAAAATGCACAGTATATACACTAAATAGAATCGTAATCGTATTTGTCCATTTGCTGTGGTTTTTGGACTATTTGGAAAACAGTGGCTATATAAGTGGTTATATGTAAGACATTGCACATTAAACAAAAAGGCATTCATGATTTTAACACGAAAACGACTCCAACTGTATTAACATTAAAACGTTGTTGACCTCTCAACTACATTTGTGAGTTTTTAAGTGAGCTCTTAAGGGACTTCCTGCGTATGGAATCTGAGGAATCATCGAAAAGTCTTTCAAGAGTGGAGACAAGGGAAGCTCTGACAGCACGGCCTAAGCCTCGGGCTGCAAACACATACAGCACCGGGTTTAGAGCACACTTGATGTACACCAGGAACAGAGATATGTATTTGCCAAGAACCGCTCCTCCATACAGCTTGGCCCGTCCCTGAGCCAGGGCCTGCACGAACCGACACACAAAATATGGCACCCAGCAGGTGAGGAAGAGGAGCATGGTGAAAAACAGCACGTGGTACATCCTGGTCATCCTGCGGGCCGTTGAAGGGTTGGAGGAGGAGGTGGGGGTCAGGGGGACTGCTTGCTGAATGGTGAGCACTACAGCCAGGTTGCTTATCAAGAACACCAGCAGGGGCAAGATGAACCCTGCTATGGTTTCTGTTACGAACAGCCCCGTGTTAAACGTCCCACTCTCATGGCACTGGTATTTCCCGTTTCTGTCCTCCAGGACGGCAAAGTGGAAGTACGGGGCGGACAAGACGGTGGCTATCAGCCACAAGATGCCACAGGCCAGAGGAACGGCCCAGTAGGGGCGTCGCAGTCGAGCCCACACGGGCCTCAGCAGACACAGGCATCGCTCCAGGGCCACAGCGCAGAGGAGGAAAGCGGAGGCGTAGAGCCCCAGACCTCGCAGGAACATGACCAGGTGGCAGAAGACGCGTCCGAACGGCCAGCTGTAGTTGTGAGCGACGTAGCCCAACATTAGGGGGATACGCAGGAGCAGCACCAGGTCAGCCAGGGCCAGGTTCAGCACATAGATTCGGAAACTGCTGGCAGCGCGAGTCTCCTCACTGCTGCCTCTGCGCACCAGGTGGCGATTATGCCGCAGTCCAAGTACCCAAACCACCAGCCCATTCAGAGGTACACCCACCTTGAGAAACCAAGAGAACCAATTCAGGAGGACAGACTTTTAAAGCAATAGACATTTTTTGGAAATACACTCACTTTTTTGTGATATTGCAGAAAGCTGCAGCCAATTAGCTTAGCATAGCATGAAGAATAAAATGAGGACAAGGCTAGCTCTGTCCAAACGTAAAAACATCCGCCTACCTGCACCTCACTAATAAACACGCTATATCTCGGTACAATAAGCAAAGTGTGAAAATGAGAAGTTGTGGTTTTGTGACTGTGTCTTGGCCAAACTCCAGGAAATCACTGCTCATTGCCAAGAAACACCTGTCAAAACCAAGACATCTTGTTTTTTTTTACACAATGTTTTTGTGCAGTTTTAACAAGCAAGTTATAACGTCTTCATTTGTGAACTTTCAGAACTTTGTTACCTCTTGGAGTACATGCTAGCTGTTTCCCTCTGCCTCCAGTCTTTATGCTAAGCTAAGCTAGCTGTCACTTGGCTCCAGATACACATTTACTGTACAGATATGAGAGTTGTATCATCAACTCATTCCCACAACTCTATCAGTTCAAGCTGACGGAGTCATTCAGTGGCCCTGAACAAGGTTGTTTTTGGCCCCCAAACATCATAATCAATAGATGATCCCAACTATGATTATGTACCGTTCATTATGCGGCTCCTTTTTCAATCGTACCTCTAAATTTGAAGTGGTAATGTACAATATCTAAAGAGGATTTCTCACCAGGAAGATGAGCACAGTAGCTGCCATTTGGACTCCCCGGACTGCCTCCGCCTGCCAAGAGCTGCTGGAGTTGAGTGCATGGACGGGAAACTGTGTCCCATTCATATCGGCCATTGAGACGAGGAGCTGAAACAGGGGAGAAACTGATTCATGTCACAGATGCATAGGTTTTTTTTCTCTTGTGAAATTTTGACAAGAAATGAAAAACATCACAAAATGAAAGCCATCCATTTGACTATTGACAAAGATGGAAATTGTGTAACATGCATCACTGAATATGAATTTCACATGTCAGTTGCCTATAACACAGACTGAAAGATGTCCACACCACACACCAACATGATACCACACACTTCCTTCCTTATATTTGCAAATTTGTGTTTCCTTGCTGAGAAATCTTGTGTGTTGCATCTAACATTTAAATTCAACTGTATATTATTATATTAAGAGAGTATAGCACTGCAATCTATGTCAAATCCCTCCCACGTCACCAAACACACTGTTATTTTCGTATCACTTAAGGACTCTTTGCAATGACTTACATTCCTTTGCTGCGTTGCTGCTTAACCATAACCGCCACAGGTGTACCCCCAAACCATTCCTTAGCCTTAGAGAGCCAATGTGACCACCTGATTTTTTACAAGCACATGCATACACGCACGTACAGGACTTGTGTCAGGTGTTGTATCAGCAGTAATGATTACAGAGAAAGGAATGTACATGTAGACCGGGCGGTTTGTGTGCAGCTGTAATGAGGACAGCATGCATGCAAACACTCCTGTGTTGATGAATACACCTCCTTGATGCTCCGAACAGTAGCAGCACCGCTAACCTGTGCCAAAGTTACCGGTAGCCGTGGAGGCTCCCTGATTAATATAGCTCACCAAGTTCAGATTTGTAGAATATACAGGAACCAAGAAGTTTAGGATTTCTGATCTATCTGTGTTTTTAAAGTCAGTGTTAAAAAGCTTTTCTTTTTTTTAAAACAACATTTGGATGTTATTTAAAGAGTTTTCCTCTTACCTGCTTTATTTGTCTTGCGTGTGGGAGGAATGGAGCAGCGATAAAGAAAAAAGGAGCGGCCACTTGCTCTCTCTCTCTCTCTCTTTCTTTCTCTCTTTCCTGTGAGTGATTGCAACACACACTCCTTCCTTTGTAGTACATATCTATGAACATCAAAATATTAGTTTCAATACTATTATTTTTCAACAAAATGTAATGTTCCTCTGCACCAAACGGATAAAATCAACCGCTCGATTTGAGTGAACATTAACCTCGGAGGCATAAAATTGAACAAAGTTATGCATTCAACTTACAACCAGGAAATAGTTAAAAGAGGTAGCATTGAAAATTATTTTTGTACAACTTTCTTATCAGGAAGCAACCTGAATGCTGTGTTCTCTTTAGTGCTGCACATTTATGTTCTCCAATTTACTTCTTTATTCCTCTGCTTGTTTCCTGGACAAAACCGTTCAAGTGTTTTTGGCCACTTTTCACCTTAATTAGAGAGTAGATGGTGAGAGATGTGATGGAAAATGAGTTGAGTGAGAAATAATTATATCAAACAAAGATTGCTGCAGATTAGACTCCTAAACCACCATGATTGCACCATATCACCAAATCAAGTTCACCCAGATATTGAGTAAATCAAAATTACTTTTGCTCAGTTTCTTAGTAAATATAAATCAGTTTTGCTTGAAAAATTGATTTGGATTTACTTATTTATTTTGTTCAGATTTAGTGAATGTATTCAATATGTTTTAATCAAATTTGTAGAACTTAAAATCTATTAAGTTATGTTAAGTGTCACTTTGTTGCTTTTTAAGTAACCAATGGTTTTTGGGGTGTGCTTTGATTTTAATCTACTCCATTAGCCCAGTCATTCCCAAAGACTGGGATTTTCTTTTGGGGTCACCAAATAAATTAGTTTCCAGTGTTTTGATTAACATTTATATCTGCAGTAAACCTTTGAACCACATGAGGGAGCCTGAATGTTTGTATAGTGCTGATAATGTAGCCTACTTCATAAATGTATAAATAAATATATCTATGGTTTACCCATTAAAGATTACATAAGGTGATGCTGAAATTGCAATAAAGATGGATATGAACTTTCCTCCACCCATAAATTCTCTCTTCTCAGGATTTATAGATACGGCCAAACTTTAGTCCTTTTGGGGAACACTGCTTTAGCTTATACGTTTGTGGGAAGCTTAGAGTGGCAGCTGCCATCATTAGAGTGAGGAACTGTGGTTTTTAACATGCTAAATATATTGCAGCGGCTTCACCATGATACTGGCCTTACAATTGGAGTTGGCTGGGTCGAGTAGTTGATTTTCAGGCTCTTTTAAAGCCACCAAAGCACCGCTTTTCAGCTAAAATGAGCACACAACATTAGGCCTTACGTATTTGTAATTTCATATCACAAGGCTGCCGATATTCTATATTCTTGGTTTTGTCAACAAATCCCAAGAAAAAGACCAAACCTAACAATTCCAATTGTCCGTCTCTCAGTAATGTTTGACTTTCAGCCCCAAGCCCATTTATTTCTACTGTAGACATAATCTGGTCACAAAATTATTTTTTATAATCAAGCTGTACATATATAATAGTTGACCTTTACCAGTAGGTGGTAGTGCTGCTCATTCTTCAAACAATGAGGAAATCTTTTGTCCTTTCTTTCATTTTTTTGTGTGATGACTCTAAATACATGAGGAGCTTTAAAGGACTCACATCGAGAATGAATTAGACAGTTGCTTTAGTCATTTTAGGCGATTTTATTGTCTTGTTTGACACCTTTGACCAAGTACTGACATACTGTATGTCTCTTACAAATGTGTGTCTACTGTGTCCTGGTTATCAGTCACTTTCATCTTAATTCAAACTGTATGCATATGAACAGAATCAAGATCATTAAAATGTGTCTTTATTTGTCTTTTTTTTTTGGTGCTGTAATCAGATTTTATTTGTTCATTTATTAACAGCAAAAAACTAAACAACATAACTGCAATGTCAGTGTTTATTTGTAACAATTCTGCATTCAGCACTTTTGATCCATTGAGCCAACTATTAATCAATTATTATAGTTTAAGTTATCAAGTACATGTAGTGAATTAAAAAGTACAGTATTTGCCTCCAAATTACAGTGGAGTTGAAGGAAATGGAAACGATTAAATAAAGTAAACGAAACTCAAAATGACTTACTTTAGTACTTAAAGGTCTAGTGTGTAAGATCTGGCGACATCTAGCGCTGAGATTGTAGATTTCAACCAACTGAAACTTCTCCCGTGTGCCTAGGATGTACTGTACAATAGCTTATGTCAAATCGTGAATGGCCCTCTGTAGAGCTGTTTGGTTTGTCCATTCTGGGCTTCTGTAGAAACATGGCGATCGGCTTCATGAAGAGGACCCGCTCTGTATGTAGACATAAAACATAAAACATATTTTATAACGTCATATTCCATTTTTGCCCCTTATTAAGATCCCCCGTAATGCTACACACTGTTCAGTGTACAGTACTTAGTGAATGTACTTGAATGTAACACTGGAAACCAATTTAAACACTTATTAGAAACTGAATAAACCAGAAAATAATGACAGATAAAAAACAGCAACAAAAACATAAAATCGAGTTGAATTAAACATCTATAAAGGAAACATAATCATAAATGGCCATATAACAGTTTAGATGATTTATTCATTATGATTACATGTGGGTTTTGGAATACATGTGAGGATCTGAAGCATGTTATGCTTCTGAATAGATTCATTGAAATAGATACAGTGTGGGGTCACTTGCTGTCCCTTTAATCCCTCATAGTATTTGGCTTGACTGATAAAAATGTTCTGATGGTTGGCAGCCACTAAAAGGAGAAACAAAAAAAGTAACAAGCTTTATTTTTTTGAATTAATATCTTTCAAACACACAGAAATAAACAAAATTAAGTATGAAACAGAAGCAGTTTGTGGCTGAAATGTTGCCATGTCAGCTAATTTCCATGATATCAAAGTGACAAACCTCATAATAGTAAAGCCTATTATGTTGTTATAAATATTTTCATTTAAAAAAAAATCATTTCTATAATACAGTTAACAAGGTTCACAATTAATTTGTCTTTTAACATCTTAAGACGGATTGTTTTTGTGTAGAGAAGTGAAGTGATTATTTGAGCTTATGAACTCTTTTTAAAAAATCACTTTACTGTCTTGAAACCTTTGATTTTGTTCTAAAGTATAAACAAATTACATCACATTACAGTCATTTAGCAGACGCTTTTATCCAAAGCGACTTACAATTCAGATTCTATCACATTTCTACACCGTAGGCACAGCTGCAGGAGCAATTTTGGGGTTAAGTGTCTTGCTCAAGGACACATCGACATGCGACTAGTGGAGCCTGAGCCGGGGATCGAACCGCCGACCATCTGATTGAAGGACGGCCCTGCTACCCACTTCGGCACAGTCGTCCAAATGCTTTAAATTGTACAAAAGTAAATTATTTACTATATTCATATTTTTTAATACATAAATGCATATATTATGTGTGGTATGCAAATCTTTAAAAACAAAAAAAAAAATCCATTCATTTTGAAAAAAAGTGACATTTAGCTGTGCAAGTAGACCAGTCTGAGTTAAATTTCACTGAATCAGTCGATGTGGATCAGCTCAAATAACCAATGAAATTGAGAAGTGTGCATATATTCAAAGTACTTTGTGGAATTGAATCATTCATAACCAGCGTTGGTCTTTCCAGCTCACCCACACTTCCTTTAAACCTGCTAATTTTAGCTGCCGGGGTTTTGGTCGGGGAAACCAAGCAAGCTTGTGGTACGTCACTGTGAAAGAGAAGGAATAGCGTTATGTGTGTCATAGTGTTTATCAGTTGTTTCATTTTGTTTTGGAGTAAAAACAAAAGCTGCTTTTGGCCTGAGAAAGATGTTGTTGATGATGTGAAAATAATCTGCATGTCTCTGTCTGAAAACACACACACACACACACACAGACACGCACACTTTGAGGACACCAAGACAGGACGACGCCATAGAGAGCTGGAAATGTTATCACATCATATCAGCTGTACGTATGTTGGGCCTCTCATGCACAGACCACATGTGACAGGAAAACAGAGAGCGGTTTGCCCACATGGAAACACTGACAGAGAGCTCCGCGCTGTAGAAACAGAGAGAAAAAGACTTGGCATAAATACAAGACATCAAATCATTTTGCTCTAATTGACAAACTTTCACCATGGCTTTTGTTTCTGGTTTCCACCGTAGTAGCTCGAAAAAGAATCGAAAGTAGGCAAGGATATGAATGAAGGTGACAAAGAAAGGTCCTTCTAACAAAAGGCTATGTTTTGCCACTTCACTTGAATTTCAAAAAAAAGATTAGGATCTGCTTTCCTCTTAACATCTGAATATGTCAGTTCCTCTCTTTCTGTATCTCAACACATATGTTTACACATGATATAACATTTTGTGATCACCAAGACAATACACAACCTTTCTTTTTAAGTAAAAAGGGAAAATGTAAAACTACTTTCTCCCTAAATTTGTAATTTATGAGAGGGATTAGACAAAAAAAAAAGCCAGACAGAAGAAGTGAGGATTGTGTTTAAAGTCTCCTCAGCTGGCATATTACACATTGTGAATTTCCATTACATGAAGGGGAGGGTCCCTATCGCGTCTCTGCTTCTTCCCCCGCCTCCTCATGTACTTTCAGTCTTTTCAAACGTGTTTCCTCTTTAACACACTCACAGGAATGTGATGTAGCCTACATGACACACGTCCACCGTATGAGTGTTAGAAAAGTGGTTTGCATGAAGCCAAAGTGTGCTCTTCTCAGTGCTGGAGAAGAGGAGGAGGGGAGGGATAGAGAGTGAAAATGGATGGGGAGGCACCTTGTCTTCTCAGAAACAGATCAGTATGACTTGGTTACTGGGTTACCACAAGCAAACACTGCAGGCAACGAGATTCTGGGCCAGTCAGGCGGCATCTATATGATATGTAACGAGGATAGTGTGCAGGATCACAGTCATTTA